CGCAAAGCTTCCGTGAAGACAGCAGTTGCGAGCAAGTGGCAAATTCAAACTAGACGGACATTTAAGGGAAACGGTGCAGTCAAACCACTTATTACACAACATTTCACCACAAAAATAATTAAGGCAATAAAAGAATTAAGACGAAAATGTTTTAAAACCTTACCAGTTTGTTAGTTCTCTTATAATCCATTACAGCGTACAAAACAATCGTAGCAAAATGGCAGCAACTGCGTTTGTATGAAACGAGAGCGAGTCCGCGATACCAGGATGACATAATTAAATAGTTGTACACCATTTTGAATCGAGTTTTAATATTTTATTAGCTAAACAAACGCAAAGCTTCCACCAAGAAAAAATAGTTCAAGCAAGAGTACAGCGCCGACTGCTGTTACCCGGATGAGCGTGTATTATTAGCTTTTACCAGTTGTTATCGAGGGATAACATACCTCGGAATGTCGCGACTGACCAATCAGAATCAAGTATTCCACAGAGCCGTCTAATAACAAGCGATAACACACCTCGGAATGTCGCGACTGACCAATCAGAATCAAGTATTCCACAGAGCCATGTAATAAGCTAATATACACCGCAGTTCAAAAGTTTGGGATCACTAAACTATACTATACTATTTGGGATCTTTTTTGAAAGAAATTGATACATATATTCAGCCAGGACACATTGATCCGACATTTATAATTTTGCAGGCATAATATTAAAGTTGTTACTGTAGCTGTTCTACAGGCTTTCAGTTCATTAAAAGAAAATCAGTGTAGGGTTAAGGTTAAACTTAGGGTGATTCTTAATTTATTTTGTGTCACTTTCAGATAAAACAAACAAAGAGTCTGTGAGAGCCATTCAGAAGAGTATCTTTACAGTCTGTCTGGATGCCCCCTTGCCGTGTGCGTCTGATGACATGTACCGCACCCGTGCTGGAGTTCAGATGCTGCATGGAGGGGGAAGCAGGTGGAACAGTGGAAATCGCTGGTTTGACAAAACATTGCAGGTTAGAGACCCACGAGTTGATGTGTGTGAACTCTCACTGAGAAATAAAGCCTAAAACATAAAATGTATCAAGATCCTGATACTGTCATGATGATTAATATGGTTTCTAGTTTATTATTGGAGAGGACGGGACATGTGGGCTGATCTATGAACACGCCCCCGCTGAGGGCCCTCCCATCGTGTCACTGATCGACCATGTGGTGCAATACATGTAAGATTAACAGTGATTAAATGTGGAAAAGCTGTTTTCCCATGGCTAGATTGTAAGTATGGCTAACGCAGATAAGATTTACCACATATTTGTATAGGAAGTCGTCAGAGATGGTCCGTACCCCAATGGTCCCGCTGCGTATGCCACAGAAGCTTCGATTCAACATCACGCCAGAGATAAAAAAGGACATTGAGGAGGCCAAACAAAACATGAACATGTAAGAAATCGATACATTCCACTCAGTCTTTCTATTACCAACATTTTGATTGGTTGTTTTATTGGACAAGCAACATTGCAGTATGTTAAATGTTGAAAGTTTGAAGGTTTCTCTTCTCCTTCTCTGCAGAATGGTACATGACTTGGACATGAAAGTCAGTGTGTTTTCCCATTTTGGCAAAGATTTCCCAAAGTCGCAGAAGATGAGCCCTGATGCCTTTATTCAGGTTGCTCTCCAGCTGGCGTACTACAGGTAAACTTCACCAGCACTGCTATTAATGGTGTTTACTGTATTTAGTCAAGTCAAGTCAAGTCAAGTCTGCTTTATTGTCAATTCTTCCACATGTACAGCACATACACACAGAGAATTGAAATTGCGTTACTCTCAGACCCTTGGTGCATACAGATAACACTAACAGTAGAACATAAATACAGATATACAGATTAAATATAAAATACAACTATACAAATATACAAATAAGGTAAAATGTAAAAAAAAATATATAAAAAATAAAAATAAAAAATATATATATAAAGCAGCACACGCCAGATAGAGTGCAAACCAGTGAAGTAAACAACAGTGCAGATATAATGATTTGTAGTGCAAAAAGAGCTTATTTAGACTGATTAAAGTGACTGTGTGTGAGTATTTGGGAGGGGGGAGTGGGAGAGTCCGTCAGAGTTCAGTGGTGCGTGGGGCAAAAGAGGGGAGGGGGGGCAAGGTCGGGAGGGAGTTCAGCTTCCTGACAGCCTGATGGATGAAGCTGTCCTTCAGTCTGCTGGTCCTGGCCTGGAGCCTCCGCAGTCTCCTCCCTGATGGCAGCAGACTAAAGAAGCTGTTTATTTATTTCTTAACTGTAACATCCTTCTGTTATTATTAGGAAGTTAGAGATTAGTTTAGCTTATTCAGTTAATTCACAGACTCTCTGTTTCAGGTTTTACAAGCGCTGTTGTCCTACCTATGAGAGCGCTTCCCTCCGCATGTTCAGACTGGGCCGAACCGACACTATACGCTCAACGTCCATTGACTCGGCTACATTTGTCAAGGCCATGGATGACCCAGCCAAACATGTATGGTCACCTCTAGTAGACATTTTGGTTGAATCCACATTTGCATTACACTACAGTTCCCAAGTTTGTGGGTCAGTAAGATAATGTTTTTGGAAAGAAATGAATATGATAGTAAAGTTTTAAAATTCTTTTCTTTTTTTTTTTTTACTTTCTATTCATCAAAGAATACTGAAAAACTGTATCAGTGTTTCCACAAAGATATTATTAAGCAACAAAACACTGATAATAGTAATAAGAAGAAATGTATCTTGAGCACCAAATCAGCATATTAGAATGATTTCTGAAGGATCATGTGACACATTACTGAAAGACTGGAGTAATGGCTTCTGACAATTACGCTTTGCCATTACAGGAGTAAATTAAAAACTAAAATATACTGAAATAGAAAATGGCTATTTAAAAAGCAATAGCAATTTTTAGTTTTTATTAAATAAATGCAGTCTTGAGACGTCTTTCAAAAACATTACAAAGAAACTTTTGAACAGTAGTTTACATCATGCATTATGCATCATGATGCAACATCATACATCATGACTGTAAATCGGCTGCTTTATAAATATCTTGCTATGGAGCTTGTCTTTTTGATTATCAATATCAAAACCATCTTATTATTTTCCAATTGCATTTGATCCAGCATGAGAGAAAATGTAACAATCTCATTTTGATTGACAGAACACAGAGAAAGTGGCTCTGCTAGACAAAGCAGTTAAAGCGCACAGAGCTTACACAGACATGGTGAGTAAATGCATGCTGGTGATGTTCAGCTGATCACCTGTAAGTATGTGTATCAGTCATTATTGGGCTGCACTAAATATATCCCTCAGGCCATCCGAGGTCAAGCCATCGACAGACATATGCTCGGACTGAAATTGCAGGCTATCGAGGACCTGGCCGCCCTGCCAGAGATATTCATGGATACCTCATACGCTGTGGCACTGCACTTCAACCTCTCCACCAGCCAGGTACTGTCAAACAAAGCTCTCTGGTCCAGGGTTATGTGCATGTTAATAAACCCTTATATGCGGAACAAACCCTGTTTAGTAATGCATGTACTGTGCCATTAACTCTACACATTTTTGGGGATGATCAACTGACAACAACTGACTCTTCAAATCAGCTCAAATCATATTGCTGTAAACCTGAAATCATCAGATCATGTAAAATTCATGATCTTACAAAGGCTTGAATTGTGCTTTTTAATTTTTCCACTCTCCTAGGTGCCAGCAAAAACTGACTGTGTGATGTGCTTTGGCCCGGTGGTACCAGATGGTTATGGTGTGTGCTACAATCCCATGGATGCCCACATTAACTTTTCAGTCTCTGCTTTCAACAGCTGCCAGGACACTAACGCAGCACGTCTGGCCCAAGCACTAGAGGACGCGCTGTTAGACATGAAGACCCTGCTGAAGCAGACGCCCAAAGCCAAGCTTTAAAGATGATTATGTCAATTAGACTTGATCTTTGACCAGTTCAGTCAAGACATTTGAGTTTACAACAGCATTCAAAAGGACAGAAATTTTAAGAAGATTTTTATTTAGCATTTGACCAGTCCAGACCAGAGTTGCCTGGACTCCACTGGACTGCGGTCTTTGACGAGCCTTAACACACAATAATAATCCTTAACTTTTATAAGTTTATGTGCTTTGGCTTTTGTTTGTTCAAACAAACAGATCAATTAGGTTTGTCAACAGGTTTTGCTGATTTCTTTTTTCTTTTTGTTTGTATTGAGATTATGTGCATTATGGTGAACCTGTGGTTAAAAAAAGCTCATGTGATTCTTTATTGTATATTAGATATTAAATGTAATTAAATACAGAAAAAAATGTTTTAATTGCCATAATGTAAATAGTAACATTTGCAAAGCATTGGTTTCTCAGTTCTTTGTTCAATGTTGTAAATTTGCACATTAACACATTTTTAATAAATATCAAGTCTTTAATAACATTTTAAATTCTGTTTAGATTTGGTCATTATTCATCAAAAGTTGTTCTTGTGCATAATGTTACTGTGCATAACTGTCTTCTTTGGGTCTATGTAATGTTGCATATATAATTATGTAAAATATCACTGCAATGGTTTTTACATATGGACACACACAAGATAAATATTTATCAGAGAAGAAATAGACCTACTCAACTATGGACTCTGTGTCTTGTAATAAATATAAGAATTGATGAGTAACAATTACTATATATGTTCTGGTTTACCTTTCGTTGAACATGAATTTTACAATATTACATATTGTTATATGCGTCATGGATCAGATAAACAGTTTTCATTTTATTCATAATTTTTTTTTAATGCGACATTTATGTAACAATCTTTCAAAGCTGCAGTTTAATCACTGACCCATTGGAGTCTCCAAATGATCCCCTATTATCTGTCACACATGCTCGTGTGTGTGTGTGTGTGTGTGTGTGTGTGTGTGTGTGTTATGCTCATCATATCGCACAGAACCCTGCGCTGTTGACTCAGTTGTACAATACTCAAAAATTATAGTATGGAAAAAGTTAAAGACATTATTCCTGATTATAACGATGGAGACTTTCTGTGTCCTAAAAGTGGGTAAGTGTTATGAAAGAATATATCATGTTGTTGTCGCACTCATAGCCTAATCTTTGAATTAACAAGTGTTAACATATTTTAATAATTTTAAATAAATTATGTTATAGAATTACTGCACTCCATTTGACCCAAAGTTGGGTTGAAACAACCCAGCATTTTTTAGATTGTGTTTTTTAAAACAATACTACTGAAGTGAGTCTGTTTATTGTATTATAGCCTGATTATGTCTCATTAAGCTCAACCTGTGATTTTGTACAAGCTTTATTGAATGTGAAAATAGTGTTTTTATTAGTTGTCAAATTTGAATAATAATAATAATAATAATAATAATAATAATTCCTTACATTTATATACCGCTTTTCAAAGCACTCAAAGTGCTTTACATTGTTAATATAGCTAACACAATAACATTAGTTTAAGAGAGAAGCTTAAGGTGTTGTTTCCCTTAAATTCGTTAATTATAGCTTTTATTCTCTTAATTTTCTTAGATTATAACTCCATGTCCTGCACAGAAATTTTAATGTTTTTTTTTCATTTCCTGATAACACTATAAGAATAATTTAACATTTAACCTCAATCTTATCAAATGTTATTGATGAAAGGAATGTAGAATCTGAACTCTCACTTAAAAGATCATTTCAAAGCCATAATGTCTTTCTTTCTTTCTTCCTTTCCTTCCTTCCTTCCTTCTTTCTTTTTCTTTCTTTACCTCAGATTTTAGGTTAACAACTTGACTACATGAAAGGGGGTTTGAGGAAAAAAACGGAGGTTTTAAACTCCAAACTCAGGTTTAAATGACAAAGTGTAAATTTTCTTAAGGTGACTGGAATGTATGTTAAATGTTCTGATTTAATTTCACAGATATATAGAGCAAAAAAGAACATGTTTTTTTTACATGTTTTTTCCATTTCATTTTCCGCTTGTTGAAACCACGATGATGAGGCGAGGCTCCTCCTTCAATAATTTAATTCACATGTTAGTGATTACAGTGCATTTCATCTGGGCTGCTTCAAATCTGTACCCACTGTAGCTGATCCCAATTTAAATACCAGAACAGGAAGAAAAAAGGAGGAAGATTTATATATATATATATATATATATATATAATGGCCATGTCAGCTGTATGGGACACTGACTATCTGTGGAGAGAGGTCCAAGGGTCAGTGCAAACAGGTCTAATGTGTCTTCTTTCATGTGGATTTAATCATAGATGCTAGACAGGACCTTGTTGTTCTGTAATTGTTGTTCTGATCCATGCTGGTCCGGTGATTCTTGTGTGCATGCCATCAATGTAGTAACTTATTGTCATTTTTAAAGTAAATAATATTTTGAAATATTAGCATGTTGAACTTTTCACTTGCAATATTGTTGACAGTGTATTTTCAACAGGCTGCATCTGGCTATTCTAGCAATGGCATCTGTGGATAGGTTCAATGTTCTGTCAAAACGTGCTGTGCAATTTGCACATAACATAATTCTTCTGTTGTTTTTGTTCATTGAAAGTCTACATAGATGGTTTTCAACTGAGTAGTGAACTATAGCTTGTTTTCATACATTTGAAACATTCATTAGGATTTAAAATCGCAACAGATTAGATAAATACGGAAGGCTGTTTGAAAGCTGTAAAACATTAAATGGGTAATTGTGATAAAGTTTAAAATAAGTTGCATGTGACAAATTCACATTGTGAGATTTTTACATCTGTATGCATTAAGTTAAAAATGATTTACATTAAGTGCTATAAAGATGTAAAGCTATAACTTGTGTGTGTGTGTGTGTGTGTGTGTGTGTGTGTGTGTGTGTTTGCATTTCTATAGGGCAAAGTTGGCCTCTCTCTTTGGTCTGGACCGAGCAGAGAGTCAGGGAAACGAGTCTTTCCAATTCACCGCCCCTAAACAGCCCAAAAAGTCCTGCGCCAAATTAGGTAGGTGGTACAGCAAATAGTTGCATAGCCTTTTTTGGCACAGTTTCATGTTCTGATCATTTTGAATCTTAATGTGAGCACATAATTGCTCATGGTTTAATCAGTGTTTTTCTTAAGGCCCGCCTCCTCAGAAGTCCATCCCTCCTCCATGTGCTCCAGCTGTGCTGTTTGCTGCAGCTGTTCATGCATTCAGCTTGTTAGTATAAATATGGCAATTAAAGGATGTTTATGAGACTTTGAATTAGCATTAGTTCACACATTTCTTAAATGAGCTTTGATTTTCCACCAGTGTGAATGGACAATATGTAAAGCAAGGCAAGATAGGAGCTGCTGTTTTAGGAAACCATGTCACCAAAGAGGTAAGAGAAGCTAATTAACAGAAGCTTATCTCTAGTAAAAAATTAAATAAAAAAATTAAAATACATTATAATAATAAGTATAGTTCAAATCTATGAACATATTTACTGACACATTCAGTGTACCTGAAGTATACTTGCAATAGTTCCACTTTAACACAATCAAATATACTTCAGTATATCTTTAGTTGGACTGCAGCACTTCGATTAAAGTGCATGAAGTACAAAATGAGTTGTTCCGATTTATTATAATAATTTAGCATACTAAAAGTAAAATTTCAGGGTACTTTTTAAGTACATAAATATGTAAATGTATTTGAAGTATACTTAGTATGAAATAAATGAATTTCAAATACATTTACGGTTTTTTTTTTTCACTGCGCATTTTCTTTTTGGTTTATTTTATTCGTTTTTTCTATCTGCACTTATAGTACAAGATTCTGTTGTACGACAGTAAACAAAAGCAGATCAGTACGGCTCGAATCCATCGTGGATTTGTCCTCACAGTGAGTGTTGATTCTATTCTATTCTATTCTATTCTTCTGTGTTTTGTTGTGTTAGATGCTGCACTCATCAGCTCTTTATACCTGTTCACAGGTTCAGCCCTGTAGCTATGTCACTTTCTATGATGACCAGCAACAAAACTGGTCTTTAATGTTTGACTCAGCAAAGTCCAGGCCTGAGTTCTGTAAGGAGGTAATACTTAAACTGAATTGTTTGTTTAATAAAGATTGATGCATTCTGGATTTGGAATAAATTATTCTGTATCTCAAAGTGTGCCTCTTATTTACTTCAAAGCTGCGGGGTTCTGCAAAATTGCTATAATGCAAACATCTTAAAATTATTCAGATTCACTATGTATTTGAAATGACCTCTGAGCATGTTTCTCTCAGGTGTGCGTGGCCCGGTGGAACAGTGAGGCTTTGTCAGACTCTCTGGTCACTCAGGACCTGGTCCAAGGAGAAGGTGAAGCTGTTGATGTCGGGGACACAGTGGAGGTGGCCTATTCTGGATGGCTTTTACAGAACCATTCTCTAGGACAGGTGATTATTCATGGTATTTTTGTACAGATGAATTACATTGCATCAAAAAATAAAGAATAAATAAATGTTAAAAAGTTTATAGCATCTTTTAATTCTCGAGGAGTTTCTATTCTTAGTAAATGATGCTGAGTGGAATCACTACTTTTCTTAAATGTACACAGTATGTTCTTTCGTTTTAGTAGTTGAGCACATGTAGCACACAGCAGCTCACGGTGCACATTCTTGTTGATTAGTCGCAGCTCAATATAAGTCATGCACTCACTGAACTAATCAGTTCACTGGCAATTTAAATGAGTCTGTCTGGCATGTTTGCTGTGCAGCTGGAGATCTATAAATGCGAAAGTTCAGTGTCTCTGTCTGTTTTTTCAGGTATTTGATTCCAATCTGGGCAAAGAAAAGCTGCAGCGAGTAAAGCTCGGAGCAGGCAAAGCTCAGAGGGTGAGCAGCTCTTGAACACAACAATGCTTTAAAATGATAATTAAAGAAATGTATAACAGAAAAATGTTGGTTCTGTCAGCTGTTGTGCCATCAAGCTCTTACATTGCTCTTTCTCAAAGGGATGGGAGGACGGGATGCTTGGCATGCAGAAAGGAGGTCAACGGCTCCTTATCGTCCCTCCTAGTATGGGTCATGGTTCAAAGGGCATCCTCAACCATGTGCAAGCAAACAGCACTCTGGTGTTTGATGTTGAGATTCATAGAGTAAGGCACTGACATTGTGAATATAATTTAATATACCAGCAAACATATTTAATCTCTCTCTAACTCCTTTTTTGTTTGTATATTTATCTAAATGTAGGTTAAATTCTCCAAAGTCCGACATAGTCGGGAATCAGTTGACACCTTCAGTGCATCTCCAAGCACACCAAAAGAGAACACCAGCCAATCTATCTATCTGTATGTATGTATATATATAGAGAGAGAGAGAAAGAGAGAGAGAGAGACATCAACACATGATATTTATTTGTCTTATCCAATTGGCAAACAGTATTTTTCTTTTCTAGATTTTTCTTTTCTAGATTTAGGCATAAATCTAACACCATTTAGCCAGTTTTATGCTTAAAACATAAAAAATAATAAGAGAAAAAAATCAATACAAAGATTTTTTAAGCGGTATACGTATTGAAAGGTTAAATATTAATATTTTGTTAAACAGGTGTTTTAATTAGGTGACTTTATGACATACGTCAGTAAGCTGATTTTTATGAATTTATGCAAGTTATTGATCATTTGTATTCAGAGTCCAAGCACCCAAGGGAAAGGTGGAATCTGTATCCCTGACAGTGAGTAACATTTACCTTAACATTTAGACAGATGGCATGTGCCAGGAGTGGCTAAAATGCTGAAGCTCCAAATATATTTCTTTCTCGTAGAGTTCAGGTGCTTCCAAATCCAAGCTAATCTCACGTATAGCCAAGATGGGTCAACCCATGCTTCCCTTTCTCACTGGGGCCATTCCAGCTCAGCCTGACCCCAGCGACTCAGAAACAGAGGTCAGGAGGATTGGAGAGGTTGTTTACATTACACATACTGTATATGAATGTAATGCTGTTTAAATCTATTATGTCTCTCTGTGCAGGATACCAGTGAATTGATTTGTGATCCCTCTCCTTCACATTCCCACTCACCAAATTCTACACAAATGCCCTGTAGTTCTCCATCTCGTATGTATAAAAAGAATCACAAATAATCACGTATTACTTAACTCTTCCTATAATATTAGAGCTGACGGGATCTTTGCTTTCATGTACTGGTTTTTGTTGTAGTGTCGCATCAGCCTGGTGATGCTCAGAAACAGGAAGCAGTGCTGCCAGAGGCAGACTTAAACACTACTCAAGGCTTTCAGGTGAGACCCCACGTTGTAATTATAATCATAATCACAATCCGTAAAATGGAAAAATGGAAACCCGAGGGGCGTAAAAAAGTCAGGGCCCGTCGGGCTAAAAATGCAGGGCTCTACCATTCATGCTCATCGAAACGGCAAAGTCCACTCAAAAAATCGAGCCGACAGGAAACATCTATATAGTACATGTAGCGCCCCCTTCAGTCCTAGGTGTATCTACACTTTGGAATTGTTGACGCTAGAACCCAGATTCGTTTAATTGTGTCTCTCGACATGATTTTACTTCAAATCAAAATGTGACCCTGTTTTTTATACTACTTCTTACAAAGTGCAACACTGACCTCTGTAAATTGCTTTCCAAAAATATATCTACGTATCAGTTCTTTTTAAAATGACACGCTATGTAGCAGAAATATACAATGAATTTAGTTTTTTTTTTTTTTTTTTAGCTCTAGACCTAGTTACTGGCCTTGGAGGAACTTCTTGTCTCTCACCCAACTTTGGCATCCGTACTGAATCTCCAATAGGTAAGAGATGATCCCTGTGCATTGTCCGGACTCCTCCTGTGCCTTTCTCAGGTTTGAGTCTGTAGACGGGTAAATTGTCAAACTTTTCAAGAACAATGTATGGGGCTGAATTCCACCTATCCTCCAGTTTGTGCTTTCCTGTGAAACTCAGATTTCGAAATAGCACACGGTCCCCAGGCTCTACGTTTTGGTATTTCACCTTTTGATCATAGAGACATTTGTTCCTCTGATGATTTTTTAGTGAGTTTCCTACTGGCATATGCGACTGGCCGGAGACCCTCTGGATACTCTTGGTTTAGTACTGCACCTAAACCATTCCGGCTTGCATCCACATGTAGGATATGGGTCTTGGTAGAGTCAGCGAATGCCAGGACAGGGGCATGAGTAAGGCAGTAGATAATGGTTTTAAAAGCTTCAGTACAATCTTCGCCTCACCGCTCACCAAACAGCTCTGACTCTTTTAAGTATTTCCCCTCAGTGGTGCCCTTTTCACCCCTTTTGGCTGGAGGATACCCTTTGGTAAGTTCTGTCAGGGGTCGCACAATTGCAGAGTAGTTTTTGACAAACCGCCTGTAGAACCCACAGAATCCAAGGAATGATCTCAAAGCTTTAACATCTGTGGGCATCTTCCACTTAGCAACTGCTGCTATTTTCTCTGGGTCAGGAGCAACACCATTAGAGGAGACAATATGGCCCACATATTTGACTTGTGACATACAGAGCTGGCATTTGTCAAGGGAGATTTTCAGACCATACTCCTCCAAACGGTCTAAGACTTTCAAAAGCCTCCGTTCATGTTCTTCCAGAGTGGAACCAAAAACAATAATGTCATCAAGGTACACTATCACTTCTAGCAGATGCATGTCCCCCACTGCATGCTCCATTAGTCTTTGGAATGTCGCAGGTGCTCCACTAACCCCCTGCGGCATCCTTTCAAACTCATAAAATCCCAGAGGACATATGAAGGCAGTCTTCTCCTTATCTTTGTCGGCCATGGCTATTTGGTAATAGCCACTCCGAAGATCTAAGACTGAAAACCACTTGCTTCCTGCAAGACAGTCCAACGCATCATCTATACGTGGGGTAGTGTACTGATCTGGAAGCGTTCTGCTGTTCAGTGTACGATAATGAATACACATGCGTATTGCTCCACTGTTTTTACGAACGATCACAATTGGGGAAGCATAAGGACTTCGGGTATCACAGATAAGGTGCCATTTGTGTTGTAAAAAACGACCACAAACTGTATCAGTTCTTATGAAATAAAATAAGAGCAGGAGGACTACAGTGTGTACATAAGTTTATACTACAGTTACTTCTACTAAACATTCTGACGATTTCATTTTTTTTTCTTAAATGGCAGATGCACAGCAAATAAAAGACATATTTGTCCAGTCTGATCCATACAGCATAACTGTATCACACAAAGCACACAGATTAAAAGTTTGTATCATGTTGATAAACACTTAAAGCTTAATTCTTGAAATAGGAAATTAAATGAATATTGTTTAATTACAGAGATTAAGTTCTTTTTTCATTCTGTACATGTTCAGTGAGAAGCAGACTTGCATATAAGAGCACTTGGATGAAGAGAGGTTCACAGAAGTACACAGATTCAGGAAACAATATTGGGTGTGTGCAATACTTAAAGTTGCTTAAAACTGGATCGTTGACAATGTAAAAAGGACTAACAGTGCATTTGTTAGGATGAATGTCTGGAGAGTTTTAAGTACAGTGCCTTCAGAAAGGTTTCACCTTCAACCTATAATTGTCTATTCTGCTGTGTTGCCAAGTCAGTTAAAAACATTTAAATGTTGAAATTCAAATGTAAAGAGTCACATTTAAACTAAAAATTAAAATCTTACATTAAAAATGAAAGTATTCAAATACTCTGGTACTAGGGCTGCACGATTAATCGAATGTGATTGTCATGCACAATTTGTTAGTAACGCTGGTGTAACCTATTGTGCGTTATGGAAGAAAGAAACACACGATATTTGGAGTTTCAGCACGAGAGCGCCCTCTGGCCTTCGGATGGAGATTTACTGCTGATCACAGAACCGTGCTTCACTGAAAGATACGCATGACAATCGCAGCTTCTGTCGAATCGCGATCTCGATTCCATTTCGATTTATCGTGCAGCCCTATCTGGTACTGCAGGGTATAGGCCCTTTCACACCAAGAACACCAAGTATAAGGACAACTTATTAACAATAAATGTATTAGCATCCACACCAACGGACAATCTGTTTATTATAAGCGCACACTGTAGTTATGTCAGCTGCCACTTTAAATGCTCAAGCTCTTTAAAGTGAGGCAGATTCTGATTGGCCTGTAAATATTTTTTTATCGTTCATCAGCTGGAAAAAATTGTTGTGATAGTGATTCCAATGATATAGTTCCTCTGTGTTGTTGTCATTATAGCTGTGGGGTGATGCCCCAATTCTGATCAAATTAGAATGATGATTAAAACTTTAACATTACAGCTATTGTCCTTGATGTAAAAATCCCTGAATGGTGATAAATTTGGTCTTACTGTACAACAATGTTGATATAATAACATGGAGGGCGGGGCATGAAGATTTAGCTTTACTGTAGAGAACATGCAGATATTTAAAATTTAGTTGGGGGGTGAGTTGAAATCAAATACAGAAGAGGCACAAGTGCTTAGAGCGGGTACATCAATGGCGATACTAAAGCTCAACAGTCTTATTATTATCTATTCCTATTAGGTTTGAGTTAAATGAACCATTATCAACTACTTTCTTGCTGTTAATTTATTGGAATGTGACTAGCTTATGATGAACAATAAAACCTTATCCTATTAGACAAATGTCTTGCTGTGTAAGTTCCTCTTTGACTGGCTAGTTGTAATGGGAGTGGAAGAAAAAATCCAGTAACTTCTAAAGTGCTTGAAGGTTCACAGACTACGATTTCATGCAGCAAATGGGAGGAAGGAATAACAATGACACATGAGGTATGATCCTGACCATGGTAGGACACTCGCCAGCTTCAGCCGTGGTAAAGACGGACCCGCTGAGATATAGAGCCACGGCACAGAGGGCAGGACTGCAGGGCATCGCTACAGGTCTGGCAACAGCATACATGCCCACACGGCAGGAAGATCACCTGCGACTGTGACACAAAACAGAACAGGAGAGGAAATTACGGTTTCTTTCAAAGCTGCTGAAAAGCAAATATTTTGCATTGTTACAAAGAATTTCTATTTTAAACAAACATTGTTCTTTTAAAAATATACTGAGATAGAATTGAGACCTTACCTCATGTTCCATGCACACCACACACTCGGAACTGCTCCAACTATCAGGACTTGGGGCAGTGGGGGTGAGGGGGGTGCTGGGGGTCAGTGGAGGAGTGAGCTGCTGTTGAAGTGGGGCGCTTGGAGTGGATGGACCAGCTTCCTGCATCTCTTTTGCTGTTTTAGGCAATGTTGAAGGGGCAAACATGTTATGATACCCTCAATCACAACTTAAAAACAAAACATCGCTGAGAAGCATTTACAAATGTCACCTAATTAAAAATGGCATGTCCTCAAAAGAAAATGTATGTTCTTACGATCAGACAGAGTGCATTCTCTGGCCCAGTGGAGAAGAGCTTTCTGCACGCCAACCTCATTGATCCCCAACTGTAGTAACACAGAAAAGATTTTAATGGACATAAACCTCTGATGACAAATTCCTAGAGACACACACTACTTAAAACTTCTGTGTGCTAAAACACAGAAGGAAATGTGGCGGACCTTTCTAAGGTCTTTAGTGGTCATGTTTCGCAAGGCCTCAGCAGTGATTCGGTGGTGAGCTATGATTGGCAGGTAGTGTTGAGCAGAGAGTTTACACAGCAGATTCCCCAGATCTGCATCTACAGCTGTCTCCTGAGGAGAAAGGAGAGGTCAGCAGAGCATCCATGATTTTGTGATTTAAACACAGGGTCTTTGAGCCTATAGGAGAGCTGCTCTGACCTGCATCCGCAGAGACAGAGGTTTGGCATCCAGGAGCCTCTGATACTGGATCATCCAGTAGTTCTGCTGATTGGATTCACATTTCTGCGCCATCTCCACCTGAAAAAACAAACAAAAAAAAACGTAGCACCATAGCTTACAAAGTACAAGCAACATACAGACGCATCTGTTGCTTTTTTCAAAGTCCTACACAAATCCAACACTATGTATCAGGTTGTATATTTTTTTTTAACCCAGTGGCGACTACCATGCTAAAATTTATCAGTCTGGTACATTGCAGGGGTTTTCGAATTGGCCTGTATTTCTTTATTTGATTTTTCTACACTGAATAACAAATGTTAAATATCAAAGCCTCAACAAATGACATATTAATCAGTAAAATATAATCCATGGAAATAAAATACAATTAGAACCCAATAATATCTAAAATAGTTAAATAATAAAGAGGTAAAAATTTGACCGAAAATAAAAGGATTTTAATGTTGTTTTAAAGGCTGTCAAAGTTAAGGTGCATTTATCTGATAATAAAATGTCCAACAAATTACATAAAATAAGCAGTAAAATATAATACACTGCAGTAAAATTAAATTAGAGCAGAACAATTAATAAAACATTTTTTACTGTTTTACTATTTAACAGTTTTACAAAAAAAATAAAAAGCCTGTCAAAGATAACATGTATTCTTCAGATACTAATGTGTATTAGGTTTTTTTTTCTCCACACACATTTACATCAAATTTAAAATGCTGTTTTTTGACAATATCGGTATGACCTAAACGTGATTTCTGCAACAGTGACTGAAGCATGTGAAATGTTTCAGTTAACTGATCCAATTTCGAATGTCTCTTTTGATCAATCAAGAATCAAGAAAGTTGGTCCATAATCACTTACCAAAACCATCCTGAGCTCCTCCTCCCTTTGGTCCTTCTGTTTGAGTAACTGCTGCAGTAGGTCAGTCAGAGCAGTCCTCTGGTCAGCTAGCACCTCCTAACACACACACACAGTAAATACACACACAAAAAAACACACACAAAGGATTCATACTCCCAGAATACTGTGATAACTCATAGAGGTGGTGTGAGCATGATATTTAAACAGGAATGGGACGAAATGGCCAAGAAACCTGAGAGTGACAGAGAAATGTAAAAACAAGGAAGAGAAGTGATGTGCGATGACAGAGTCATCATTACTCTTCTCTACACTCCACAGCATGATGAAGCACTGACAGGAAACCACCACATCATCTACTGCTGCTACGTACCTGCAGGTTCTCAGTGTCCAAATTCCTCCTCTTAACCTCCAGCTTTGTCAACTGCATTAACTCTGTCTCTATGAGTTTAATCTATGGATACAAGCATACAGTGGGGGTGTGAATGGCCCCATTGAGACATGATAAAACAGCCACCTTTTGGGTTCTGCATCCAGTGAGAGGTGGGATGTGAGAAGCATGGGCTGACTGAAACCAAAAAAAGCTTTTAATGACTAGAATGGCTACACAAGCCCATCTGAAACATTACTTACTTTAACAGTATATAAGCTGACCATGAAATATCCACCGAATGGCTTTGTTAATGATTATACTACCATTCAAAAGTTTGAGGTCAGTAATTTTTTCTAGGAAATTAATCAATTTACTCAGCAAGGACACATTAAAAGTATCAAAATCCACAGTAAATACATTTAGAATATTACAAATATTTCTTTTTCAAATAAAAGTTTTTAAACAACAAAAATAAGAAGCAGCATAATTTTCAGCATTGATAAGAAATGTTTCTTGAGCACCAAATCAACATATTAGAATGAAATAAATGAACAGAAATAAATGACATTTTTAAATACATAAAAATAGAAAACAGTGATTGCTGTATGCACACTGTATACAGTGATGACTGTATTACTGTTTTACTGTATTTTTAATCAAATAAAATAAAAAGACTTCTTTCAAAAAACATCAACCCCAAACTTCTGAATGGTGGTGTATATGTTAAGAAATGACAGTGCTGATAAAGTTAAAACTCCTTCAATCAACCAGTAGTATGATGTAAATCACTGTATCTGTGGGGTCTTGTTGGCTCTTCTATCCTAAAGGAAACTTTAATCAGCATACCTGATTACGGATATAAGCATGCACACTGTCCTTCTGGAGTTGGAGGGCTTCAAAGGCGGCCTTCTGCATTTCCTCCTGCAAATCAAAAGCCAATTAGGGTTAATCATTCAAGACCTACTAGACCAACAATGCACCACCTGTAATATCTACAGTAGTTCATTAATGTATTTTGCCTGTGGAGTGAATGGATGGATGGAGAGCAAACTAGTTTTTAATAACAGTTTTCAATTCATGTACATAGTAGGTTAGTGATTTAAATAGTTACCTCTTGAAGGATCTGACTAATGGCTTTGCTTTTGTCTAGCTGCTGCAGGGACAACACTTGGTCAAACTTCCTATCCATATAGTCCAAACTAAATAAAGGGGCAAAAAAGAAAAAAGTAAGACACAAGAAAAAATGCAGTTTACTCACTGCTGTTTGAGGTTTTTTTATTAACAATCAGCACAATAACATAGTAAGTGATTTCAAAATCAGAGAATGTCCCTTTGAAATCCAAACAAGTGGTCATAGAATATGCATTTGAAATGAGTGTTACCAAGAGAAAACAGTCTCGCCTGACCACTTGTGGTCAGATCACAGAGACGGATGTTAATATCAGGTGTAAACAGAGTGAAAAATTGCTGGATAGAGTTCAAAAGCATATGTATTGGTGGGAACTGAAGCACCTCTTGCAGGTCTCAGACAGCAGAATCTGTGTCTTAGCTTCCCTGGCCTCCTGAAGTAACCTTAAAGAGTAGCTCTCTGACAGCATCCTTTGCATGGCACCTGCAAACATGTAGCCTTTTCAGAACCACAATAGCTAAGTTTCTTTTAAATGTTATTCACTTTTTATGAGACTTTTTTAACTGATAGAGGCAGTAGATATGACAGAAAATAGGGGAAGTGAGATTGGGACATGATGCAGGTCTAATTCAAACTATGAGTACCAAAGCACCAACTTGTCTGGAGCAGCTTGTTTTGTCAGAGCTTCTAATGACTTTCCTAATAAATCTAAAAATAATTGTAATTTCTAAAACTCACTTGCCACTTCCTTCTTCCTAAGAGAGTTGGCTTCATCCTGTGTGATGGCAGTAAGGTGTTCCATTCGTATACTAAAAAACAACAAATACAACAAATTCATAACTGTATCTCTATTCAAATAAAAAAAAAAAAACATCACGGTAAATCCCAGATTTCACCATGTGTGTGATTAACATCTACATACACTACAGTTCAAAAGTTTAGGGTCAGTAATATTTTTTAAGGAAATGTTCTATTACTTTTACTTTTCATAATTGTTTTATTTTATTATTATTACTATTATTATTATCATTATTAAGCTAGGATGCATTACATAGATCGAAAGTGGCAGTAAAGGCATTTATTATGTTTTTAAAAAATCTATTTAAAATAATTTCACAATATTACTGTATTTTTGATTAAATAAATGTGACTCTGGTGAGCATAAAAGACTTCTTTCAAAAACATTTAAAAACCTTGTCAACCCCAAACTTTTGAACGGTAGTGTATACATTACAAACAACAGATTCTGATACACAACTAACACCCCACTGCAGCGTTTGTGAAACCACAACTTAAAGTAGCACTCCAGATCTTTCTGACATCTCCAAAAATACCTGAATGTAACAGTAAATGTTGAACTTCAATCTGTGTGCTGTAGAAGCACCACAACAGTGGCACTGTCCAAACAGCTCAGTGCTTGCACTAAATCTGGACTGAAGTTTTCTTAAGTGGTGCCATTAGAAAGAAAGAAATTCACTTAGCAAGAGCTGCATTGATGGCAGGAGCCCATACTCCATTACAGAGTTCGACCCACGCGTAATTTCCACTCACCGGTCTTCCTCCAGAGCTTGCAGAAACTCGCCGCTCTTTGCCTGGCTATAATCAAATTAGCACAAATGCACAATAAATAACCACCCTTCAACTACAGAATACTAATGGACTTAGCATGACTAAAGTGATAATGGTAGCTAAAGAAAAAGTGAGATATTTAAAAAATGGTTCACACGGTACCCTCACCGTTTGTTATCAAGTAGGAGGTCAGAGATGCGACTCATGATATTGCTCTCTGCCAGATGTACTTTATCCAGCATTTTCTGCCTATCTGTTTCCTGGGCCTTCTGCTGCTGAGACACACCTAACTCCAACCGTTGCTGCTCCTGAGAGACAGAAAAGCACAGAGACTAATCTTTCTGATAATAAGGTCATTGTAAATGAAAACATGTTTTTATTAGCTAGCTAAGTGTAGTGACAGTACAACCTGTTACATTAATACTTTTCTTCAGCAAGAATACATTAAATTTATCAAATGTGGCAGTAAAGACATTTATAATGTAACAAAACGAAAGATTTCTAATTCAAATAAATGCTGTTTTTTTTCATCAAAGATTCCTGAAAAAAGCCTCACATTTTCCACAAAAATATTACAGAAAAATATTATTAATACTATATTAATAAAATATTAATAATACAGTCAGAATAATAACATATGTTTATTGAGCAACAAATCAACATTTTAGAATTAAAGGATCATGTAATACTGAAGACGTTCTATTAAAATAGAAAAAAAAGTTATTTTAAATTTGAATAATACTTTACAATACTACTGACTTACTATATTTAAGTATATTAAAATCAAATAAATGCAGCCTTGGTGACCAGAGAGACCTGTTGTTAAAAAAAATTAAAAAAAATTACTGCCCCAAAAATTTTGAATGATAGTGTAATTCACTCAAATGTGTCATAAGTTTGTAAAAACACATTCAATTCTACAATAAAAATTGTTACCAGTTTGACAGACAGCAGGACATCCTCTTTGTGGGAGTTGTTGAGGAGGAGGAGCTGAGTGTGCTCTCTCCGTTTCTCTTCAAGATCTTTCTCAAAAATCAACTTTTCCAGCTGTTTCTGCACCTAGTGGAGAAACAGAGAGAATACGATGTAAATACTACTTCACTGGATGATCCAACAATAACAAAAAGAAACCAAATCAAACATACCTTTCTTTTCTCATAGTCCATGAATTTGCTCTGCAGTGTCAGATAGAATATGTTACATTAACAGATCAAATGGCCCACTACATTTTTAGGCACTGTTTGAAATGGCTGATTAATAGTGATGACTGACCTGCCAGGCCATCTCTTCACCATCAACACAATCCACCTCCTGCTTCCCTTCATCATGCTCCAGCACAGGCAGCAAATACTGGGATGGAGGGCAATACTCCAGACTCATCTCTAAATCCAATTAAACAAACCAGCTGCACAGATTGGCCTTGTACCATCACATGGGGTTTTTAATTTAATTTAATTTAATTTATGCATTTAGCAGACGCTTTTATCCAAAGCATTATTTATTTTTTACCAGTATGTGTGTTCCCTTGGAATTGAACCCACGACCTTTTAATATTACATTTTACATATACATTTTAATATTTAACCAAATCTCATGCATAATCTGTATTGTACACAACCTGTAAATTTAAAATATATGTTTTCTATTTTAATTATTTTAACAAGTAATTTATTCCAGTGATGGCAAAGCTGATTTTTTTCCCCATCAATTCATTTTTCAATGACTCCAGTTTTCAGTATGTGACCTGTATTGTTTGCTATAAGTAGCCATCATGTTGCCATTGTCTCTCGTCGTGTATTGATGTTGTAACCTGCTGTCGGTGAGTCTAGTCTGTTCATGCCTCGTCAAGTCTGTTCATGCCTCGTCAAGTCAAGTTAAGTCAAGTCTGTGTATCTTGTTTGGATCACTGTAAATAAAACTGCACTTGGGTTCTCACTTCAAACCGCCTTCAGTGGATGATTCGTTACAGTGTCGCATGATCCTTCAGAAATCATTATATGCTGATTTGGTGCTCAAGGTACATTTCTTATTATTATCAATGTTCAAAACAGCTGTTTAATATTCCTGTAAAACCGTGAAACAAATGTTCATAATTCGTTGATATTTAAAATTGTTTTACTGTTGTTTACTACAGGTCTTTACACTCACATTTGATCAAATGTAATGCATTCCTGCTGAATAAAAATACTAATTAAAAAAAAAACTTTTGACACACTAACCTACCTAGTGCTACACAGTGATATATACAGTAATTATGCCAATGGGTCTTTTACAAATCAGCATTAAAAACAGTATTCTGTTTTCAAATGCCACATAAGAAACAACAATTCACATCAGCTTTGTTCATATACAATAAAAATACCTGCAAGGACAAAAGCTGCCCGATGTCATCAGGAAGTGACGTGAGCTTATTTTCATGCAGGTCCAACACCTTACGAATTGACACACAGAGATGTTGTCACTGTACAGAAGTGTAAGATGGTTATTTGCTTGGCACTGTTGTCATCAATCAATTTCTCTCACCTTTAAAGTTGCTAAGGCACCAATGAAGCAACCTTTAGGAACAAGTGACATCAGGTCATTTCCATGAAGAATTAACACCTGCAATTAAAGTGGAAACGGCTGTGAAAGATCTGATTCCCACCAAAGGTTCAGAGAAAAACACTGCAGTAAATAGACTCACTTTCTTCTGGAGGACTTTACATATGGAGAAGGCACTGGAGGGAACCTGCAGACAAGCACTGTGTAAGAACTGTTGCAATATGGATAGAAGCTCAGATATCTAGCAATGATTCATCTTCTGTCTTAGATGAAAATTTCACCAATATGTAAATAATGATATTAAGGCTTTCTGAAATTCACCTCTGCAAGCTCACAGGCAGAAATGTCCAGAATATCATCAGCACCTGCTTCTTTGGCCTGCACAAAACAGGCATGTGTGTTAAGATCTGAAGCAGTGCAGAGTGCACTGTGACAGTAGGATGTTGCCCCCCCCCCACCCCCCACAAAAAAAAACTCACCAAGCATAGCTGGTATTCCAGGCGTTTAATGGAATCCTCACTGGGTTTCTTCTTTTTGGAGAACAGAAACATCCTGAGGCAAGTGAGATTTTGTTTGCCCAGTCAAAACCCCACAACATCCACAAAAGCCACTGGATGTTAGTGTGACAATTGACTGACTGTGGTGTTGACATTTCCAAAGAAACAGAAACATAGTAGAACAGTGTGAACAAAGTCAAGTACGACAAGAAACACACAAATAAACACTTGCTATATTACAAATTATAGTCCCTCTATATTCATAGGACTACAAATGACACTTTTTGACTAGACTTTGATGATTACTGAAACCTGGTCTTGAAGCCAAATAGCGCGATATAAATAACTGTACATACCGTACGCGAAAAACGAATATACGCGATTAACCGCTAAATTAACTAAATAATTTAATCAAAACATGGGTTTCTTCAAATGTTTCAGTATTAATTTCTTGTCCGTGTTACCTAGTATACTCCCTCTCTGGCAGCACACACAAACACACACACACACACACACACACACAAACACACACCAGGAACAACTTCTCGGATGTTGTGAATGACGTAATGCTTCGCCGCAGAGTGAAAGGTTGTTCAGTTCTCGCGATATTTCGTGGCTTTATATTGGTGGTGCCACACTTCATCGGCCTTTTCTATTTTGTGGTGAAGGTGCTATGTTTTTCGGTCGTCCCGAATCCGGGTTCATCCGACACCGTCACCAGTTCAAGTCGAACTGAGGTCAACTTCATCTGATACACCATGCCTCCTAAATTCGACCCCACCGAGATTAAAGTTGGTATGTCTGGAATACGGTAACCGTTTGACTGATTTCTGATTAGGTCTGAGCGGCCATGTCTGCGCCTTGGCCTTTCGCGTGCTGGGACTAATAAATGAGTAGAAAGGTAAAACTACAAAAAAAGTACCTAACGGTATAGTTTCGTTGAACCATTTCAAGCTGAATATATGTACATACAACATATAAGATATTTGTAGTTTATCCTAGAGGCGTGTATTTTAAATGCTATCTATAGCATCTTTACTATCTGTAGCTTCTCCGTGCATGTGGCGTTGTGAATGTAAAACTCAAAGTCCCTTTATTCTGTGGTCTTTGATAAAATACCAGTTTCTTGCTGTAGTGTCACAGCACTCAGGATTAAAAAGATGAATACGGTAACCGTTTGACTGATTTCTGATTAGGTCTGAGCGGCCATGTCTGCGCCTTGGCCTTTCGCGTGCTGGGACTAATAAATGAGTAGAAAGGTAAAACTACAAAAAAAGTACCTAACGGTATAGTTTCGTTGAACCATTTCAAGCTGAATATATGTACATACAACATATAAGATATTTGTAGTTTATCCTAGAGGCGTGTATTTTAAATGCTATCTATAGCATCTTTACTATCTGTAGCTTCTCCGTGCATGTAGCGTCGTGAATGTAAAACTCAAAGTCCCTTTATTCTGTGGTCTTTGATAAAATACCAGTTTCTTGCTGTAGTTTCACAGCACTCAGGATTAAAAAGATCGCGCGTTTTCACGTGCTGCTGTAAGGCAAAACTGAGCTGAAGCTATAATGGTTAGAAATTTTAAAGTGTTAATTCACCCAAAAACAAAAGTTATGTCATTGATTACTCACCCTCACGTCGTTCCAAACCCGCAAGACATTCGTTCATCTTCGGAACGCATTCGGAATTAAGATTTTTGATGAAACGAGAGCTCTGAGACACTCCATAGACGGCAGTGTAACTACAACGTTAACTACAAAGGCCCATCAATATGACATCAGTGCTTCAACCGCAATTTTATAAAGCTACAAGAATACTTTTTGTGTGTTTAACGTTTTAGCACAAAAAGTGACCAGCAGGTGAGGTCAGAGTATAGCATTTGCAATGTAATGTAATATTTTTACCCATCCAGACTATGTAGATACATGAACCAGTTAAACTTTAGAGGAAGGATAACCTTTTGAAAGCTTACACTACAAAAAAGTTTAGTGGCAGTGCATACCTTGGGGTTAGGCTGGGAGCAGAGTAATCCTTTTTGCCATCTGTGTGATGTCAGTTTCTGTCTGTTAGTGAAACCACAACAGCATGTTATAGGGTTTTAATATTGACCCCAACTAGAACATGCTGTAAAGAATAGATTTGAAGTAATCCTGCACAGGCCTGTCTGTTTTACATAAGCCAGGTATGACAGAGTTATTTGCATAGCTGCTTTTTGCTGAACTTCAATGAATGACGCTCGGTGCTGGAAAAAGCGTTTTAGTTCATTTGGGGCTTTTCCCCCTGCAACGTTTAGAAACAAGATCACTCTGTAATGTCTTACACAATCTAGAAGTTCCTCAATGAAAATGTACTAATTCTAGTAATAAACAAATAAAAAAAAACTTTTTTTTTTTTTTTCCCCTAGTGTACATGAGATGCACAAAAATGGACATGCCTTACGCGAAGAGACAAATATATGCAAATAACTGCTAAATTATTTGATCAAAACATAAGCTCCTTGGTGTTTCAGTACAAATGAATTCAGCCAGGATGTGTTCAAGTTTTTAGCATGAGACTTGTGCTTAAAACGTTTACAAGTCTCACCGACCCCAAACTTCTGAAAGGTAATGTACATGGTATTAGTTTGTTATTCGCATTCTATATGTGCCTGATGTTTGTATCATGTTTGCGTTTTCTTTTGTAGTTAAGCACTCTGGAAGTGTTTCTTTTGATGAGATCATCAGCGTTGCCCGTGTCATGAGGCCACGATCTATTGCCAGGGAACTTAGTGGTATGTATTTTAAGAATTTATGTATCTGAGAGCAATATTTATCATTCAGCCTCCCGCCACTGTGCTAGTCTGTAAAAGGGACTGTGTACTGTCCAGAGGAGGCTAATAATAACCCAGCTCTAGGAAGCAGGACTAATCAACTCGGTGGTTAACCCTGTGCCAAAAAGACTGGAACATGCATTATAACCATTTATGAATGAGAGATTTTGATTTAGATGACCGTACAAACTGATCTTATTCTCGGTTTCTCAGGTACCATTAAAGAGATTCTTGGCACAGCTCAGTCTGTGGGCTGCACCATTGATGGTCGCCCTCCCCATGATGTCATTGATGACATCAACAGTGGCAAAATTGAATGCCCAGCTGTAAGTATTAAATTCCATTATGCTTTGGTTATATATATATATATATATATAGTGTGTATGTGTGTGTGTATATATGTGCATGTGTGTATATATATATGTATGTGTATATATGTGCGTGTATATAATTTATTTTTGCCTTTTACTTGCTGGTTTTAACTGTACATTTTCTTACTTGCAGGAGTAAAAAGGATTGAAGACAAAATAAAACATTAAAATGACAAAAGTGTTTTGATTTTTCTTTCAGTGGTTGTCAAACGGATTAAGATGCTAGAAAACACGAACCAAGATATGAGAAAACAGAAATAATCATTTTATATAGTCACATTTTAACGTAAACACTCCCAGTTTCTGTTTAAGCTTATAAACAAGCAGCATTGTAATAATTACAGCAAAAATAGCACAACACACGAGACTATATGGGGGACCTTGAAGTCAAAAAGTAATTCATTGGCTATATGAGTGGAACATACACTCACCGGCCACTTTATTAGATACACCGGTTCAATTGCTTGGTAACACAAATTGCTTGACTTTGAACGTGGAATGGTTGTTGGTGCCAGACGGGCTGGTCTGAGTATTTCAAAAACTGCTGATCTACTGGGATTTTCACGCACAACCATCTCTAGGGTTTACAGAGAATGGTCTGAAAAAGAAAATATCCAGCGAGCGGCAGTTGTGTGGACGAAAATGTCAGAGGAGAATGGGCAGACTGGTTAGAAATGATAGAAAGGCAACAGTAACTCAAATAACCACTCGTTACAACCAAGGTATGCAGAATACCATCTCTGAACGCACAACACGTCGAACCCTGAAGCAGATGGGCTACAGCAGCAGAAGACCACACCGGGTGCCGCTCCTGTCAGCTAAGAACAGGAAACTGAGGCTACAATTCTCACAGGCTCACCAAAATTGGACAATAGAAGATTGGAAAAACGTTGCTTGGTCTGATGAGTCTCAATTTCTGCTGCGACATTCAGATGGTAGGGTCACAATTTGGTGGAAAGAACATGAAAGCATGGATCCATCCTGCCTTGTCTCAACGGTTCAGGCTGGTGGTGGTGGTGTAATGGTGTGGGGGATATTTTCTTGGCACACTTTGGGCCCCTTAGTACCAATTGAGCATTATTTAAACGCCACAGCCTACCTGAGTTGTTGCTGACCATGTCCATCGCTTTATGACTACAGTGTTCCCATCTTCTGATGGCTACTTCCAGCAGGTTAATGCACTGTGTCACAAAGCTCAAATCATCTGACTGGTTTCTTGAACATGACAATGAGTTCACTTTACTCAAATGGCCTCCACAGTCACCAGATCTCAATCCAATAGAGCACCTTTGGGATGTGGTGGAACGGGAGATTCGCATCATGGATGTGCAGGCAACAAATCTGCAGCAACTGCGTGATGCCATCATGTCAATATGGACCAAAATCTCTGAGGAATGTTCCCAACACCTTGTTGAATCTATGCCACGAAGAATCAAGGCAGTTCTTAAGGCAAAGGGGGGTCCAACCTGGTACTAGCAAGGTGTATCTAATAAAGTGGCCAGTGCGTGTATATTACTGTATTTAGGGAGTACCACATTTTGGAACTACACACTCAAAGGGCATTCAACTGAAGATACCAGGATTTTTTTGCAGTAAGACACATTAAGCATATAAATTGACGACCAAAAAAAGAACCTTTTAGAATTACAATTATTTATTTGAAAAAAAATGGCTAACAGGTACTCAAATATTCCCAAGTTATACAAAGTACAAAAGTATGTAAGCTTAGATATGTGTTGTTGCCCTAGAAAATAAACCTGACTTTTAAAACGGGGAAAAAAAACTGGCATAATATAAATGTTTCGCAACAGCAGAAACCTTGTTTACAAAATGTTTGAGTACTTCAAGCTGCTCACCTTTTATTTCTCATCCTAAATCATTAACACGCATCACATTTTTCCAATTTCTTGACTCCGGTAATAGTACATTTATTTGCTTAAAACTGTGTGGGTACTACTGTGTTATGTATAACTGATTAAAGTGAATTTGAGGAGACAATGTGCATTTTCTCTTGAAATATACCTCACTGTATTCAAAACAGCACTCCGCAGGAAAGTTGCCACAATCATTTTTGTACACTTGCTCAATTTCATAAAGTGAAACATTTGTATTCAGCACCATAGGCTAGTTATTGTCCCACCATTAACGTGGAAACTATTATTTGCCATGGTTGATGGAAACCAGGACGGACTGAACAAATATAAAAGTCCTGCTTGCTCTCAGTTCTCCACATCCTCTTCCTCGCCTTCATTCTCTCCCTCCTGCTCATCATCCATGTGCTCGTCTTCCTCTTCATCTCTACTCTTGTCGTTCTCACCTGGGCTGTTCTTCTTCTCCTTGTCCTTACGTTTTTGCTCAGATGCCTCCTTCTTGCCTTTCTGACCTTTCTTGTAAGCTGAAAAAACAGCACATAAACCAGTTATACACATTAATATGTCAGATGCTTTAACTAATTCATATATCTCTGGACCTGAACTCTTTGGTTTCATATAGCATTTACCTTCAAGTGCTTCCCGCAAGGGTTGCAAGAAACGCTCAAACTCCATCTCCTCCATAGCTGACATCACATCTCCAGCGTTGAGTGTCTTCCTTTTTGCTTTCATAGCAAAATTGTTTGCACTGGTGTCAACAAAACAGTGGAGGTTACACTTGGGTAGGTTGCCAGAGTACAGCTTCTCATAACGAAACTAAACGTCTGACTTACCAAGATGTTGCATAGAGAACGAAAACACTGGCTGCTTGAGATATCGCTCGTCTTGCCTCCTTGGAGACGTTAACTCCATCTGGCAACTAAACACGAAGAGGACAGGTTGACTGCATACTAATAAACACAATAAAACTGCCTGCAGTGGCTGAAAGAGACAATTTACTTAACACTTTCATTTCTATGGTTTTCTCTTAAGCTGCTTTTCAGCTATTTAACGCGTGCTATCTAATAACTAGCTGTGTGATGACACTTACTGCCTCTTTTATAATCCGCGTGATGACAGCATTGGGAAGATTGAGGTCCTCTGGTTTCTCGGCCATTACACTGAATACACACTTAAAAGAGATGCAACACGACGATGTAATGTATTTTGGTTTATATTAACCGATTTGTGTTGTTTAAGATGCGTGATCAGATGTCAAACTGAACAACCGCGAAAACTTTGTGTTAGCTTAGCCGTCTAACTTATCTGAGGGTGAACTGACACCAGCTACAATCTAAAACGATGGAAGTGCGTTAAATAACGAATTTCGTTACCTTAAATATGCGTTAGATGAAATATCCGCAAATCAATTCCCTACAAAACAAGCGAATACGTACAAAAGCTAGTGTGCTTCACTGCTCTGCAGCCCGCTTGATCATCCAAACCCATGCGTTAACCTTTCACCTCTCACTGCTCTGCCCCGCCAACCAATAGCCGTTCAGTTAGGACGTCAATTTGTGTGCGTGGTTGTGTATTAAGTGACACTTTTACGTTTTACCTGTAATATAAATTACACTGAATACCTCAAATGTGAATTTCAAGGTCGCTTTGTTTTTTTTGTTTTTTAAGGCGCTATCAGTAAATTACTACGACGGTTCACATCCTGGTAGCAGTTGTAGTCCTGTCAGTGTGTAGTCCTTGTTTAGCATACGTTCAGAAAAAGTCACAGCGGTTTAGACTTTTATTTTAGTCATACATTGAACATTTCTCTTCTAAAATTCATAGGAAATTCACGAAGATCCCAAACATCTTAGTATATATATTGGGTTTTCTCTTTATTTTTCTTGCAAATTATGAAGAATTGCGCATGGGTTTTTCGATATGAAAAAGTGCATATGGTCTATTGAAGTAAACCGGGGGGGGGATTTCAGTTGGCTTGTGGGCTGTTGTTTTTGAGCCACTTAGCACCATTTAGATGGCAATTCTATTTATCTGCATCTCAGATCGTGTGAAGTAAACTCAGAATGTCAGAATGGACCTCTGTACGAACGGAACGTTTTGTTTTTCTTTACAATTCTCCCTCTTGCTCATTTTATCGCAAAACAAGTCCACATGAATAATGTGTTTATTTTCATATTAGTGGGACTTTCTGAAGCATGTGCAGTGGTCACGTAGCAATACAGTGCAACTGCTCAATTTACACGGAATGTATATTGTAGTAATTTCATGGTCTTGCAAGTGCGTTTGTTAATGTTCTCAGATCATCTCCATTTATAGCATATGTTTCAAATATTTGAGAGTAGGCTATTGCTTACGTGAGAATGAATGTGAAACATGACGCACTGCTTCGCTGGACCAGTAGCAAATAATGGGAGGGAATACTATTTCAAAAGTTTTTTCCATAGCATCACATTTTCCTGATTTGCCTAAAGTATCTATCTAATCTATATATTTGTTTTCCTAAAAGTGGAAAACTGTTTGGCTACAAATGATTAATGGTGAGGCTTTATGAAATAAGATGGATTTATAAATAAATACATAAATAAATTAGTGTATAAAGCATAGGCTACTTTTCTCGTCTCCATGTGTGGTCCCCCTGAAATGGTAGTTAAGGATATATAAAGTATTGCATTGTAGATTTTTCCATAATGAACAGACCCATAAAAGTGAACTGCTGGGGGGCGTGGCTTTTTCTTACATCTTTATCACACTTTAATGTTTGCCATACAATTGTGTCAACCTCAGTTGTGGTAAATGGCAAAGACTTTCCATGACATTTTCCCCCTTCTTTCTTTGATGCTCATCAAATGTGTTGAGGTTAGCTTCATATTAGCTCATAAAGCAATTAACATTTAACACCATGTTGTCTTTTTATAGAGATTGGTAACGTTTCATTCTTTTTCTTCACCCTCTGGCAATGATGTCATTCAAATGCTCACGTTTTAAATGACATCTTTAGGTCTGAATATGACTTTGTATGGCTGTAGTTTACATTACTAGCTTGTGAACTAAGAGTTGGTTTGGAGTTTTGATGAATTAGGATAAACCAGACTTAATAACAGGGATCTAATTAAATCCAAGGAAGAGCATCACATTTAACAATGTTAACACCAGGTGTCACTAATAAAACTAATAATACTTCTCTCTTGTATAATTAAGACTCTCTTATAAATAAATAATCTCTATTTTAGGAATAATTGTTATTTAATTAGTAAAATTAGTTTATTTTTCTGCTTATAGGACTTCAGTGTAGATGAAATTCAACAGGAAAATGCTGATTGTCAATCACTTTGATTAAAAACCCAATAATTAAAGCAGTCACTGTGTCACCTCCAAAGCAAGTCTCCTTCATTTTGAGTTTCTAAACAAAACAGCAGCAAAAATGTAAATGTTTAAAAATGCATTGTAATCAACTGAACTGTATCATGTGACATGTAAACTATTTAGATTTCCATATTATTTCTATTAAATATTTACATCCAGTGCGTTGTGATTGGCTGAATACCTCAAGCGTGTGATGGAAATGTTATGCCCCTTACCATACTGTGATTCAGTGTCCTGGCACAATGAGACAACATCAATAAAACCCATTACAAACGAGGTATTTGTTGCATCCAGTGTTAGTCTTTGCAACTTTAGGGATCTTATCTATGCACGAACAGCTTGTAACACTCCAAAGAGAAAGGAAAATTTGAAACTGCATCATATGACCCCTTTAAATGTAGAGTGTTTTTTGTAGTGAGATAAAGTTATAAGGAACAGAGACTAAAGCATTGTTATTATAGAGGGTGATGTGTAATTGTTGCCGTTGCTTTTAACCAGTTGATCATGACTTCATTTAAGAGTCTTTAGGAGTTTCTTGAAATTAATTACTAAATTAAATCCATTTTTGTATCTGGATTTCACAATAAAATCCATTGTCCCACAAATTCAGATGACTAATACAGTGACAAAAATAGGGAAGTGTATAGGCTTGGTCTGATTTTTGGTCAGGATTTCAGACCGCAAAACTGTTGTTTTAATTAAATGGAAATTTCCAACAAGAAAATAAATTTTGATGTTTAGTTGAGCTGAACTAAAAAAAATATGTTGGCCAATCATGTACCAAACTCCTCAAACATTTTCTTAAAAAGTGCGTTTCCATGAGTTCAGAGAATGTGTTTGTCAGAGTTCAGTCAATGTTACAACCAATATTTGTAAGAATTTTCACCTTCCACCATAAAGGCCATCACTTATTATGACTATAATAACTCCTAGTCACGTGCTTCCACAGGTCACAGTTCCTAAGGAAGGATAGGAAGTCTGAGTTCCGCAGTCTCATTCATTTCCCTTCAAGGTTCAACCAAGAAATTTTGAACAGAAACAGGAAAGTCCATCAACCAGCCCACTCCAATAGATGTTCTCAGGAAAGGCCACAACCAAAAGAACACATAAATACTGCCGTCATTGTCTGGACATTTGTCTGCTTCTGCTTTAAGACAGACAGGCCTCTCTCTCAAGGGGTCACCAAAAGGCTTATGTTGATGGAAATTTGCATTGGAATACATCTTAGATTCACAATAATTATCTAAGTGAAGAGATTGCAGTTGTTTAATTGTCCATTGGCTGCAGATAATACAGATTTTCCTCAGTTTCAACACTGAACATGTTACTTTCATATATCAGTGCTCTGTACTTTGCATCTTCATTCAAGTAAAATCATATTAACAATGCATTCAAACATCTCATGAATCTCATGAATCTGTTTACCTCTAATACATTCAGGAATGACCAAATTATTTGTATTATATATTTGTATTTGTAATGTATTGCATAACTAAAATGCTTGCCTTACCGTTTGTTTGGACTCTGCATTTTATTGTGCTTTTTTCTCTGCCAGCTGTTTCCGTTTTATTTGGTCAGTTCTTTAGTTGACAAAGAACACAGCATAAAACATTTCACTTGATCACCACAATTGCTTTCATTGAGTCTGTAATCAGTCAAAATACATGACAACTCCATCCATGGAGCCTTTGTAAAAGATCATAAACATATCATTTGTGTTTTCTTTATTATATTACGAAAATCTGCTTTCTTTCATGCATCCTGAGTCACCGTTTCCATGTGGGAAAAAGCATTTCATGAGTGAAAACAGTCCTTTTGTGAATCTAATTTGACCTTTTGTATACTTTTATACAAACTGTAAATAGCATAAAAGAGACAACTGCTTGCTCGAAGCAGTCTGTAGACAAGTTAGAAATGAACAGCACTTATCATGGCCTAATAAAATGAATAAAAGACTTATGGGGGACTGCTAAAATCAAAGTATATGATCGGCACAACTAAATCTATCGTCTTTGCATGTGTCAATCCAAAACGATTACCATAGTGGCCAGCACAACATAAAAAAAAAATGACTGAGTGTCTATTAAGGACTGTTTACATTTTTCTATTATTAATTACATTGATTGACCCAGGTTTTTGCAAGATAAAAACTGTTATGCAGTCTGAGTTTCTCGCTGTCATAACAACATATTTTAGCTTCCAAGAGCAGAACCAAAACATTGGCTGCAAGTTGCCATCAACAGTTACCTCAGCCTTGGCTCTAATCCTCATCTTCACCCATGCCTCTATTACACCTCATATCTACTGCACACCTGGAGATCTTGTCTTTCACAGAGGACAGTTGTGTTGTTGAAAGTTTGGGCAGTGGAGGAGTGGAGGAGGGTGGTTCTGCTCTCCCTACGGCTGTCAACACCTTCATTTTGAAAGAGTGAAGGAACTCAAACTGAATGAATAACAGGCTCACGTGAGTGATGAGAAGCGAATGTCTGAATGAACCTCATTGAAACACACCTGTGGAGAACACCACCTTCACCTGTTTGAACTTCTGACCTATTTATGAGGTTAAGGGGCCACATGCTGCAATGCAAGGGACAGAAAACTTCATGCTCAAGCCAGCGAAGACACAGCTGATACACATTATGCGCTTATGAATATGCAGGAAATATCTTGAACAAACAAACAAGATTCTGATGTTCATACCCAATGGACACTTACTATACACAGACCATGGGTAATGAGTTGTGGCTGGCATTCCACAGTGAAGGAAAGCTAAAGGTCTGAAGGAAGAGGTGC